GGTGGCACTGGGGCCTTCGGTGGAGCTCCCCATGGGGCCACGAAGCACTGTACTGTGTGGGGGGGGACGTATGTGGACGGTGGCACCGGGGCCTTCGGTGAAGCTCCCTATGGGGCCACGAAGCGCTGTACTGAGTGGGGGGGACGCATGTGGACGGTGGCACTGGGGCCTTCGGTGGAGCTCCCCATGGGGCCACGCAGCGCTGCACTGAGTGGGGGGGACGCATGTGGACGGTTGCACTGGAGCCTTCGGTAGAGCTCCCTATGGGGCCACGAAGCGCTGTACTGAGTGGGGGGGGCGCATGTGGACGGTGGCACTGGGGCCTTCGGTGGAGCTCCCTATGGGGCTACGAAGCGCTGTACTGGGTGGGTGAAACGCAAGGAAGAGGGGGAGGAGGGAGGAGGAGGGAGGAGGGGGAGGAGGAGAGGAGAGGAGAGGAGGAGAACGCGGGGACCGTCTCTTCAAAACGAGGACCCAACACCACAGGATGGTTGGGAAAAACGCAAGAGAAATCAACGATTTGTAGCTTCCAGGGCACTCGTCTGGGCCCTCGGGCGCCCACTGAAGCCTGCCCGAGGCCGTCCTGGCGCAGCCCGAAGCCTTCGGGGGCCGTTCACAAGACATCTTCGGCGCTCTCGGGGTGTGCTGGGCCGATTTGGTCGTCAGTCGTATCAACTTTTGGGCTACCTGTGCGCCCGCGGGGCCACTATGGAGGCCACGAAGGCGCTCGTGTGGCTCCTGCCCCCCCCATGAGACGCCGGGGCCGTGGTTCTGGGCCCGCCCCTGGCCTACTCGTAGGCGCCTCGTGGGCCGTCTTGGGAAAATACTGGGGGCCTCTGGGGTCGTCGTCAGCGCCGCGAAAGCCGTCGGCCGCGCCGCGAGAGCCAAACCGTCGGACATGTTAAAAATGCACGCTTTCGCAGGCGAAACCAAGGATTTGGGGCGGTTGGGGTCCTGTGGGGGCGTCTGGGCGGCGTGCGCGGCTCTCTGAGAGGCATCTCGGGCATCTTGGGGGCCACCCGTCGGCGACAGGTGGCCGTCCCAGGGCTGCCCAGGCCTCCTCCCTCCCGAGCGGCTCCGGCGAGCCATGGACCCCATGCCCCGTCGAGGCGCCGGCCCCGGAGGCCCCCACCCTATACCCCGGTATATGTATGTATGTATGTATGTATGTTTGTTTGTTTGTTTGTTTGTATGTATGTATGTATGTATGTATGTATGTATGTATGTATGTGTGTAGATGTGTATATATATACATATATATACACATGTATTTATATACTACAACCATCGCCCGCGCTTCGAGCGCGCTCAGGTTCTAGTAGGCCGCAGGCCTTGACGACTTCACTGCTCCACTGAAGTAGTGGACCACAGATGGTTTAAACGGGAAGTGAAGAAATGTCCATAACGCCGACTAAACGCATTATGGGCAAGAAGAAGTCCATGCGCGTCGATCCGCATTCTGGAAGGCTTTCGGGAAAAATGGTTACGTAGGGGAGCGGAGGCCTGATGAATCGAGTTCCCACAAGGCCTTCTGGGAACATTGTTTTTGCGGCGTCTTGGGGAGCCTGTTGGGGCGTGCCGTCGTCGTCGTCGTCGTCGTCGTCGTCGTCGTCCTCCTCCTCCTCCTCGTAATGTCGTCGTCGCCTCTTAGGGCGCGCCGTCGTCGTCGCGGTCGTCGTCGTTGTCGTCGTCGTCGACGTCGTCATCGTGGTCCTCGTCCTCGTTCTCGTCTTCGTCGTTTCGTCGTCTTCGTCGTCGTCGTCGGATGGACCCCTCCCAAGATCCATCCAACACTTCTGGACCCCCTCCGAAGGACCTCCTGACCCCCTCCGTAAGACCGGCTGAAACCGATCACTAAGTCGCAGACTCGGGCCCCAACGTACGGAGAAGCCGGAACACGTCCTGGGTGCTACCAAACGGTTCAACATGGCACTTGGAGCAACTTTGCGCGAAAAGATCCACGGAGGGCCGCGAGAAGGCGATCAGTCATGTTCCCAGTCAACTTCCCAGACAGATCTCCGGTAGAATGATGATACTTCGGAGCCTCCGGAAACTCTCGGGCCCATGATGAACCATGTCCCCGAAAGGCTTTCTGGAGACATGATTTATTGGGGTGTTGGGGGGCCTCTTGGGCGTTCCCTGGGGGCCCCTTGGGGGCCTCTTGCGGTTTCCTCGGGGCCTCTTGGGGGCCTCACGGGGATTCTTGGGAGCCTCTTGGTGGCCTCCGGGGGCCTACTGGGGGCCTCTAGGGCCAGAGGTCTCGAAATATCGGTTCGTGATCCCCCTCTGGGCCCACTTGTGGGGCGCTCTTGGGGCACACTTGGGTTGTGTGGGGAGCCTCCTGGGCCGTCTTGGGGCCCTCGTCGGGGCCTCGAGGGCCGTCTTGGAGCGATCTGAAGGGCCTCCGACGCCGTGGGGGAGCGTTGGGAAGCGGCGACAGCGACATCGCCAAAATCCTTCAAAAACTACTGGGAAACTGACGAATTGTGTCTCCCAGGGCCCTCTTGGGGAACCTCTTGAGGACGTCCTGGAGCGTGTTAGAGTCTTCGTTGGCCGTCGTGAGGGCATCCTCCTACCCTTCTCATCTATCTGTCGTTCCTGCATGAGTTCGGCGTCGGTTGTCAATTCGAACGCAGCGAATTCGGACTGGGTGTGTCTTGTTTCCCCCCCTGTCTGGCGGTAGTACCAGTTCGGGGGCTCTTGGGACCGTATTGGGACCTGAAAGGACCTGTCTTGGGGGACCCCCTCAGCCTGTCGCGGCCTGTTTCGTGGCGGGCCCGGGCCGTCTCGGGAGCTCTGGGACCCGCCCAAAAACCTCGGGGGGCGCCCATGGAGGGCACAGGCAGCGGCCTGCCCCCCCCCCACCCCCCCGGCCTACTCCGACATATATATATATATATATATATATATATGTATATATGTACATAAAAATAAACATACACATATATAAATATACATATACAAATACAAATACACATACACATGCAACTACACATACACATACCTATGCATGTTCGTATACATATACACACATATATGTATATATACATATACATATACATATACATATACATATACATATACTTACACAAAACATTCATACATACATACATACATACATACATGCATACATACATACGTAGATACATACACACATGCATACACACATGCATACGTACATACAGATGTGTGTATGTTTATTCTATATATGCTACCTGAGGAAAACCAATCACGGCTATAGGGCTAGGGGGCTATAGGGCTATAGAGCTATAGGACTATAGAGTTGTAGGGCTGTAGGGCTATAGACCTATAGGACTATAGAATTGTAGGGCTATAGGGCTATTGGGCTATAGGGTTTAGGGTTATAGGGTTCCTCCGGGCACGCCGGGGCACCCCCCGGGCACCCGGGCCCCGGGCACCCCCGGGCACCCGGGCACCCAGGCGTGCAGCGAAAATCGGCGACAAACCGAACCTAACCATATGAATCCGCGAGGGCCCCTACAGAGGCAAACTCTGATTGGGGAATATATATATATATATATATATATGTGATACCAGAGAATAACCAAAGCATAATCTTTTTTAATGCTATAGGGCTATGGGGCTAAATGGCTATAGGGCTATAGGTCTATAAGGCTATAGGGCTATAGGACTAGACGGCTCGAGAGCTATAGGGCTAAAGGTTACAGCGGTATGAAACTATGGAGCTATTAGGCCAATAGGGTTGTAAAGCTATTGGGGCTATTGGGCTATAGGGCTACAGGGCTACAGGGCTATAGGGCTATAAGGCTATAAGGCTCTAGGGCTATCAGGCTATAGGGCTACCGGGCGGGCACCCGGGCACCCCCGGGCACGCCTGGGCACCCGGGCACCCGGGCACCCCCGGGCCCCCGGGCACCCGGGCGTGCCGCGAAAATCGGCGGCAAACCTAACCTAACCATATGAATCCGCTAGGACCCCTACAGAGGCAAGCTCCGATTGGGGACTATACATTTACATGTACATTTACATTTACACATACATATACATATACATATACATCTACATATATATATACATATACTTGAGCAGGCCGAAAGATTTTCCTCTTGAGACCCACATGACAAATTCGAAGTGTCGTTGACTTTAGCGGATGCGGACGCAGCGATCATATCGCGCTTGCGTCGAGGTGGGGTGCGGCATATGTTATGGGAGACTGCGGGAGTTGGCCAGGCCCGCTGTGGCGCTCGAGCACCCACATGTTATGGAGGCTGCGGGAGTTGGCCGGGGCAGCTGTGGCGGTCGAGCAACGACCTGTTATAAGAGGGGTTCGGAGAGGTGGCCAGGCCCGCTCTGGCGCTCGAGCTCCCGACTTGGGCACCGCGGTCGTTTTCCCTCCTCCTCCCTCCTCCCTCATCCGCCTCTTCCGTCCTCCCTCCTCGTCCGCCTCCCTCCTCGGTAGGGGAACCCCATCCCCCGTAGAATCATAGCTTGGGCTGCAGGTTCAAGGTTCCATGGATCCATTTCCCCTTGGGTCCCTAGTATTCATTGCTATTATAAACTCATTCAAACAAAAGAATTGGATCTACGAAGCTTCCACGCCAAACAATTTGATCCAGAAGACACGGAGACTGGATCCACGTGACTCTCGCACACACGTAATTGGATCAAAACGGATCCATGCGTTCCCATGCAAGAGGAAAAAAACGTTCGGCCTGGGGATGTATATATTAAAACAAAAAAAAAAAAAAAACGACCCGTACCTGTCGGGCGAGGGGAAACTTCTAAGTCCGCGGGCGCCAACGTGTGCAAGACGGTCAGGCGTTGGTCAAAGCGAGCGGCGGGCTGCACAGGAAGCGACTAAGGACACGAAAGCGAAAGAACAAAGAAAACGAAAAGAGAAAGACGGGGCCCGATCAGACTGTTCATGCAGGCGTGGGAGTGCCGAGGAGGGACATGCAGCTACAAAGGTGGGCAACAACAAACCGTCCGAGACCTGGGGCTGGGGGCCGCCCGAGGGCCTGCGACCTCGGCCGCGGCTGCGCCGTGGGGGGCGCGCCGCGGCACTCCTCGCGGGCGAGCTGGTGCCGCGACATGGGCCGCGGCTGTGCCTGCCGGGACAGAGGAGGACGACGAGGACCAGGTTGAACCCGAGACGCATCAACAACGATGCAATAAACACTCTCTCGAAGTTCCCTCTTCACAAGCCCCTGAGAGAATTTATCTTGATTGCGGGATGTGGCCCAGTAGAAAGCCATCGCCTGAGAATCCTCAATCGTGCCGAAACGCCGTGCCTAGGACTTCAAGGCCGAGGACCAACGTCACTGGTATTTCCTGACAGTCCGAATCGTACCAAAAACTAGTTATGGGATTTCAACACCGCGAACCATCGTGAAACATGCGCCTGTGAGTAATGTGCCCTGACAGTCCAGAATCGCCGCAAGTTCGCGCAAACGTGCAAGACGAACCTGCGCGCGTTAAAACGAGAACTACAGCTTGAAAAGGAGCAGCCCTCCACTCCTGAAGCCTTTGCGAACTTTAGAACGAATGCGCGCGGTGCTCAAGCGAGGGCGACACGTTGACCATGAGTCGACCTCCACGTGTGAAGCGGCTGCAAGAGTTTAGAACGAATGTGCGCGGGGCTGAAGCGAGAGCCACATTTTGAAAAGGAGCTGCCCCCCATCTTTGAAGTTGATGCAAACTTGTAAAACAAAAACTCACGGCGTCCAAACGAGAGCGACACTTTGAAGAAGAACCGCCTTCCGTCTTCGACGGCGGTGCAAACGTTTGAAATCAATGCGCACGGCGCTACAACGAGAGCCACGTTTTGAAAACGGTACGCCCTCCACCCTTGAAGTTGCTGCAAACTTGTAAGACGGATGTGCTCGGCGCTCAGGCGAGAGCGACATTTTGAACAGGAGCCGCCCTCCATATTTGAAACGGCTGCGCACCTTGACATCGAAAATACGCGGCGCTAGAGCGAGAAGGACATCTTGAAAGGGAACTGCCCTCCGTTTTCAAAGCGTGTGCAGACTTCCGAAACGAATGTGCACGGCGCTAAAGCGACAATCACAGTTTGAAGACGGTACGCACTCCATCCCTGAAGCTGTTGTCAACTTTTATAAATTCTAACAAGGGCGCTCGCGGCGTTGAGGCGAGACCGACATTTTGAAAACAGCCCGCCTTCTTTCCGTGCAGCTTTTGAAAGCTTTTAAGCCGAATATGTGCGGCGCTGAAACGAGAAACACGCTTCAAAAAGGAGCCGCCGTCCATCCGCCAAATTGCTGCAATATTTTAAAACGAATGTGCGAGGAACTAAAACGAGAGCCACATATTGGAAAGGAACTGCCCTCCATATTTGAAGCTGGTGCGACCTTTTGATACGAAGGTGCACTGATTTTGACAACGGCCACAACTTCAGGATCATACATGGCGAGGAGGTATCAGGCGAGACGCCCGGCCCGCCATATCGACACGTCTGGGGGCGCAACAGGGAGGAATTATAAGAAAAAATGGAGGACGCCCCCAAACGAGGAGGACGCCCCTGAAGTGGGAGCGAGGACGGGAGAGAAGGAAAGTGGAAGGAAGGGGGAGGAGGAGGACGAGGAGGAGGAGGAGGAGGGGAAGGAGGAGGAGCACCACCGCGAAAGCCAGAGCATGGTGGACAGACCGACACAGGCACGTGCTGTGGGAGGAGAGGGTGGCCACCATAATGAAGGGCACGGCGATGCAGGAGCATGAGACAGAGTCTCAGCGCAAGTACATGTGCTACGATTGCGGTCAATTGTTTGGGTCACCCAGGCAATTGCAGGCTCATCGTGGAAAAAACGATCCTCAGCGACACGCACCTGCTTACATGAACGTTGGCACATCATGTGAAATATGTCGTTGGGATTTCCGTTCCAATGTTCGTTGGTATAAGCATCTAGCTCGGCTAAGCGATATTTGGGGGATGTTTGCTGCTGGCGTCAGATATTCTGAGGACGAGATCGCTGAGGTGCGTGAGGCTAGGACATTAACACAGCAGGCGAACCGTGCTAAAGGCCTCGCGGACGACTTTGCGGATCTTCCTCACAGGAGAACATCCAGACCCCCCCGTGGACCTAGCGTGTTGCAATTCGAACCCAGGATTGTGGAACCCATGGCCCCTGTTGCTGATCCTGCACTGCCTCGCCTGTGGTCTTTGCGTCGTGTCCCCCGAATGCTAGGCCCTGCCAGTCTGCTGGAGATCTCTCTTCTGGGCAGCGAAGGAAAGGGAAATCTGCAGTTCTGACTTGAGAAGATGATCGAGCAGCACCCCACCCCTTCAATAACATTGTCCGTTGGCATTACCCGCCCCATCACTTTCGGTGATTTGACCCATCTCTCTACTGTGGGGTAGGGTATTGATTGGGCCTCACGACCCAGGGGCGGGTTGCTGCAGTGATGGCTGGACCACCGTGCGAGACGTGGATCGCAGCTATACAGAACAGAGTTGAGGATCGGAGGCCCTGCCCTAGAACAGTCCATTATGTTGAAAAACCTTGGGAATCGGCCTACATCTCCCCCAAGGAGAGGGCAAACATTGGCACAGGCAGTGGGCTCCTGAGGTCTAGCATTGAGTTGTTGTTCGGCGCGTGGAAACTGAATCTCCCCGCGCTGATGGAGAACCTGGCTGCGGCTGAACATCGGAAGAGCATCCCTTCTAGTTGACGACTCCCCGTCCTGGCTAGGTTGAGCAACCAGGAGTTGTGTTTCATCGTGTGAACCAGTGCGACTCCGGTCATGCGGCTCAGAAGCCCGCTGGGCTACTTGCTGTTCGCGCCCCCCCCCATGCGCCGCGTTCGCGGGGAGGTGCCAAGACGGGGGGGAAGCGCCCACGATGCCCACTTACGGTCCGTATCCTTCTCAATTCTGCCGCTCTTGGGCTGGGTGTTTACTCGAAGACGCTTCTGGGCAGTCTCCTGGACCTGGTGCCCCATCCCCTTGGGCTTGCCCGGCGACGTTACCCCGTGCGTTGTGCCCCCGAACCATCCTTCCCCTAAGAGGAAGTCTGGGGCTCCCGTCGCGATTTTGCGCGATGTTGATCTCAGGAGAGGTGTTTTGCCTTTTCGCTTGGTCGCGCCCCTCTCAGGCGCTGCTCAAAGGCGGGGCGATGAACGGGGGTGGTCGAGGATTGCGGGAGGGCGGCGCGAAAGGGACCCCCGAAGGTGTACGAAATGCCGCCCCTTCTGCCTCACTCCCCTTGTGCCTCCCTCCCCCCAGTGCGTCCCCCTTCTCTGCCTCTCCGCCCCTACATTCTCTTTCCACCCCTGCCCCACCCCTCCCATCTGCCCATTCCCCCCCTTCCCTCCCAAGAACCCCCTTCCCGACCCCCCCGCCTTGGGGACCCCCGACGAGGCCCCGAAGGGGAACGAAGTGCGCACCTTTCTTCGCCCCCCGCCCATTGACTCCTCATTCGGAATCGCCAGATCTCTGGGAAAGGTCCTGTGGCCGATCATCTGGTTCTGGGGCTCCGGGAATGGTGGACAGGGGATTCGGAGCTGGGAGGGGCTCCCGGGCTTGGAGGGAGGGAAACCAGATCATGTTCCCGGAAACGCCTGATCCCTGGGAAAAGCCAAAACGCCCTATCATTGTTTCTGGGCCTCCGGAAATCCGCCCTGAATTTGTAGAAAGAGCACGTCCCCCGGACGGGTCTAGGGCTTGATTTGTTCTTGGGCGGGGAGACGGAGGAGGAGGAGGAGGAGGAGGAGGAGGAGGAGGAGGAGGGTCCGTAGCCATTTTGGCTCAAGTCCGGAGGCGTGAGGCTCAGAGGCTTGACCTTTTGGCAAAGGGATTCGCGGCCCGACCCCTTCCCATGGCAGGTGCCAGGCACATCACTTCGGTACTCTAGCTCTCACCTTGCTCGCACATTGTGAGACGATATGGAGGGCAAAGCATCTCGGAATTGATGGGCGTGCACCAACAAGCGTTGCGGGTACAAAGGCAATTTCCACTGGCGCACCACGTGTCGTATCTGTGGGACCGAGCCTCCTAGCGTGCCCAAAGGTTCGCCGCAACGTGGGCCGTCAGGCAAGTGGAAAGATGGGCCTCCCCGTGCTGGTCCTTCTGCTCTCATCCTGCCTGATGAGCTCGTTGTAGTGTATGCTAAGATGACCAGCGCTGACTACGCAGTTGTTGCTCAAGGTCTGTCACCCAAGAATGCAGCTCGAGTTGCGGCGGCTCGGAGCCTTCAGAACGGTGATGCTCTTCCTACCGCTCGTGCTGCTCGTCAGGCGTCTGATGCTATCCAGCAGAAGCTCGAAAATGCGCAATCTAAATATGACAAGGCTGTGGCTGCGGCGGCCAAAACCATGGAGTATATGCAGCAATGTGCTACCGACCTGGCCGAGTGCAAGGCCAAGGCCGACGTGGCGGCAAGCAAGGCGGCAGCCGCCTACGCCGCCATCGGAGGCGGCCCGCCGCAATCCTCTGACCCTCTCGTGCAGCTCGAGAGCCTCGCCCAGCCCCTCGCCTCCGTCGTTCCCAGCGCAGCAGAGGCGCTCAAGCCCATCGCCGAGCAGGTCAGGGCGCAGCTCGAGGAGCAGCAGGCCAAAGCAGCTGCAGAGGCAGCAGTGGAGGCCGAGCGTCAGCACCAGCAGCAGGCCCAGCAGCAGCCACAGGCTCAAGCGCCTCCTGGCGCCAGCGGCGTGCCTGGCGTTCCAGATGCAGCGTTCTGGGGGCAGTGCGGCAATCCCGAGTTCTTCGATGACTTCCTCAAAGCCCAGAACATCCCTGTCAGTGGCGCCGCAGACATGGAACAGGATCCAGACGCTGCAGGCTCCGATGGCAGGACTAAGATCAGCCGCTCTCTCTACACCAGTCTCTTGGCAGACATGCAGGAGCATGCTGCCAAGAAAGCCAAAATTGCATCGCCCTCTTCCTAACGCGTGGACACTCATCACCTCCAACGTCTCGGGCCACGCTTGGCTCGAGACAATTCTAAATTCGCAGGCCGTCGTAGAGGCAGATGCGGTCGGCATACAAGAACATCATTTTTCGCAATGTTCAGCTTGGGAGCAGCGGCTCCGTCACATGGGCTGGAGGGCTTCGGCTACCGTGGCCAAGTCGACAGGGCAAAGAGGCACATCAA